ACGAAGTAACGTGGCGGCTACGCTGTATAAGGCGAAATATACAGGAGAAAACGAATAGTTGAGGAATATCGTGCGAAATTGTAACAAAATATCAACATGGCTATGGTGACAGGACACGATGACGCAGGATTTAGGAAAGGAGACTCTAACTATAACATGGCGGACGCCATCATAAAATTTAATGGCGAGGATATGACATATTCGTCAACCAAATGGGCGCAGGATATAGAAGATAATGCTGAAATATTTGGGTGGACGGCCCAGCAGAAGCTGATAATAGCAAGACGGTCTTTGACCGGCACGGCAGAATTATGGCTCAGATCTGAAAAAGCATTTAAAAGCTACGAAGATTTAAAGAATGCACTGTTGAAAGAGTTTCCCGATGCAGTAAACAGTAAGAAGATGCATGAAATAATGAGCGCGAGAAAAAAACGCAAAGATGAGACTTGCTACCAATACATGTTGTGCATGAAAGAGCTTGGAAAGCGGGCTAAGTTTCCCGATTACGTGGCAATTCAATATATTATCGACGGTATTACAGACTACGAAGCCAATAAATTAATTTTATACGGCATAACTTCGTATAGTGTCCTAAAGGAGAAGTTGCATATTTATGAACAGATGAAAACAAAAAGTAAGCGTGAGCGCATAATTAAACAACCGCATTCAGATAAGCATAGCAGCAGGCCTATTCAAATAAGAAACAGTGAGACAGTGAAGGTGCAGCGTTGTTTTACATGTGGCAGCCAAGATCATTTTGCAAATCAGTGCAATAACGGTGTTAAATGGCATACGGCCATATTGGATCGCAATGCAGGGCAAGAGCGGCGGCGAGTGCGGCGACTCATCACGTGAAGTACCATCCTAGCCAACGCGAAGTGAATATCACTTGTCAGGTTGGCAGTACCGCTGATAACGTGCATGGCGGCGAACTTCACGACAAACATGAACATCCTTATCACTATGGCGAACGAATGAATGAGTGCACTGACACACAGCTGTCAAATTCGAATGACAACAAACATGGCGGTCAATGTCAGAATGTTTTTAGTGTAAATAGCGACGGTTCTCTAAATAGATCAGTGAAAAGTGTGAAAATGGGCAATATTACAGTGTTAAGTTTAATTGATACGGGCAGTGACATAAATCTAATTACGTTAGATTTATTCGGAAAGTTAAATACGGTGTGTTGTGATGACGAGAAGCTGACGTTGATTGGGCTTGGTTCCCATAAGGTGTATTCGATCGGTAAGTTTACTGCTATTTTATAAATTGATAACCATATGTATAGCACATGTTTTCATGTTGTGCCACAGGGTGTAATTCCGTATAAGATTATTCTAGGGCAACCTTTTCTAGCTAGCACTACAATTTTGATCAATAAAGGTTCTGTTGTTATAAAACCGTGTTCTTATGATAGTTCCTATCTGAACTGCTTACCTGCTTATGTTGACAGTGACATATTTAGTAGTAATGCAGTGCTGAAAGAGATTATAAGTAGTTACAAACCAGTGGAAATAAAAGAAGCTCCCATTAAGATGAAAATTATTTTAAAAGATGATATACCAGTAGCTCAGCGTCCTCGGAGATTGGCTATAAAAGAAGAAGAGGTAGTGAAACAGCAAGTTGAAGAATGGTAAGATAAGGGTATTATTCGTCCAAGTTATTCAGAATATGCAAGTCCGTTGGTATTGGTGCGTAAAAAAGATGGTGGCACAAGAGTTTGTGCAGATTACAGAAAAATAAATCAAAAGATGGTAAAAGATGACTATCCACTTCCAGTTATTGATGACCAGATTGACAAACTAAGTAAAGTGAAAGTTTTTAGTACGCTTGACCTGAAAAATGCATTTTTTCATTTGCCTACTGAAGAAGACTCAATAAAATATACCGCATTCGTTACAAGTAGTCCGGAAGGTCAGTTTGAATTCTTGAGGGCACCTTTTGGTCTTTCCGTTTGCCCTAAGTACTTTTCCCGGTACATCAATATAATATTCAGAGACTTAATTGACCGTGGTGTAGTGTTAATTTTCATCGATGATGTGATTTTGCTTGCTCAAGATGAAACCCAAGCGTTAGAACGGCTAAAAGAAGTATTGAAGGTGGCTTCGGATTATGGCTTGGAAATTAATTGGAAAAAGACTCAATTGTTACAACGTTCTGTTGAATATTTGGGACATGTAGTCTCTAATGGTACAGTCACACCATCTCCAGACAAGATTCAAGCGGTAATTAGATTCCCCCAACCTAAGATTTTAAAAGAAGTACATAGTTTTATAGGATTAACTTCATATTTCAGAAAATTTATTAAAGATTGTGCGATGATTGCAAGACCATTAAGTGAGTTATTAAAAACTAACCATTTTCAATTTGAAGAAGAGCAGAAACAATCATTTGAAATATTAAAATCTAAATTGTGTAATTATCCTGTATTAAAAATATTTGATATTAACCTTGAAACCGAAGTGCATACCGATGCATCAAAGTACGGCTATGCTGCAATATTAATGCAAAGAGATCCAGTTGATGGGGAAATGCATCCAATCCATTATATGAGTCGTAAAACTAATGAAGCCCAACAAAAATGTAGCAGTTATGAGTTAGAAGCACTTGCAGTAGTCGAAGCGGTTAAAAAATTCAGAAAATATCTAATCGGAATAAAATTTAAAATAATCACAGATTGCGAAGCATTTCAAAAGACCCTTACAAAAAAAGAAGTACCTGCAAAAGTTGCAAGATGGATCATGTTATTACAAGATTTTGATTATACAATAATGCATAGAAGTGGTAATAGGATGCAACATGTTGATACACTAAGCAGAAATATAGGAGTTATTCACTCAGAATTACATTCTCGAATCAGTGAAGCTCAGTCAGGTGATGAAATATTGAAAGTGATCAAGGAAGTTCTCAAGGACAAGCAGTATGAAGACTATATGTTGGAAAACGGAGTAATTTATAAGGGAATAGAGAAGAAGTTAGTTGTACCCGATTTAATGGATTTTGAAATTATTAAGAAGACACATGGCATAGGACATTTTGGAAAGAAGAAAATTAAAGATATAATAGAAAAAGATTATTTCATTAAAGGGTTAGACAGCAAAATAGGGAAAGTTATTTCTAATTGTATACCTTGTATATTAGGAAGCCGGAAGTCTGGCAAAAAGGAAGGCCTTTTAAACCCAATCGAGAAGGGAGATGTACCGTTACACACTCTCCATTGTGATCATTTAGGACCATTAGAATCAACAAAGAAAATGTATAATTATATTCTAACAGTAATACATGCCTGTCTGACACAAAATTTGTTTGGATTTATCCCACAAAGTCAGTAACTTCAAAGGAAACAGTTGATAAACTTAGATTACATCAAAAAGATTTTGGCAATCCATGTCGCTTTATCACTGATAGAGGAACAGCTTTTACAGGGAAAGAGTTTGTGGATTATTGTGAAGAAGAGAAAATAGAACATGTAAAAATAACCACCGGTGTTCCCCGTGGTAATGGACAGGTTGAGAGAATGAACAGAATTATTATTTCAATATTAACCAAAATGTGTATCGAAGAACCAACTCTCTGGTACAGGCATGTTAGTCAGTTGTAAAGAGCTATAAATAGTACTTATCAGAGGTCCATTAATACATCACCATTCCAACTATTAACAGGAACAAACTTAAAGTTAAAAGAAGACTTAAATATTTTAGAGTTATTAGAAGAAGAAAACAGAAATGAATTTTTAGAAAGAAGAGAAAAATTAAGAAAAGAAGCGAAAGCACAAATTTTTAAAATACAAGAAGAGAATAGAAAGAGTTTTAATAAAAATAGAAAAGAAGGATACAGGTACAAGCCAGGAGATTTAGTTGCAGTACAGAGGACACAGTTTGGTAATAATTTAAAAATAAAACAAAAGTTCTTTGGACCTTATAAAGTGATTAAGAAGATTGGTGAGGATAGGTATCAAGTTCAAAAGGTAAACAGTAGTTCAGAAGGACCTATTAATAATAACACAGCAGTAGATTTTATGAAAAGGTGGTCAAACTATACTTAATTACACACTGTGTAACATTTAATTTTTGCTTGCTTTGGTGGTTGATTTCTATAGTAATAGATAGTGACTTAATTATCTGAGTACATAGTTGTTTGCATTTGATTAAACTCATAAAGTATGCATAGGGTAAGTAAATAAAACACAAAAGTTTTGTTAAGTTTTGATTTATTAATAGTTGTTTGCTTTCGGATTAAACTCATAACGTAGGTATAGGTTAAGTAAATAAAACAAAGGTTTTTGTAAAGTTTTGATTTATTAAAGTAAAAAATAAATAAGGTGTTAGTAAAATTTGATTTGTTTAGTTAAGCAAAATAAGTTAAAATATGGTTAGTAAACAATAATAGTAGCAATGTTAATTTTAAGCAATACCTATCTGAAATGATAAGAGTATTATTAGTAAATAAATAGAGATATTGTGAAAATACGTAAATAATAAAAAGGAGTTTAGGTATTAAATATTGTGATTAAATGTCTTACTAAAGTTAATGATTCACATTTCAAAATAAAGATTAGTAGGTTTTATAAAATGAAGTTAAATAGAGTGTGTAGTCTTAAAGAAAAAATTAAATAATGTTAAAAGTTGATGTTTTAATATTACTTAATTGTTTCTCAAGAAGGGTGTTATGTTGTTTGAAATGAGTAGATTAGTGCATAGTATGATTTAGATTTGTATAAGATAGGATGGTAGGTACTTATAGGTTACCAAGTTAAGATGTTATGTTACATGATAATTGTTTTCATAATTAGTGTGCAAAGTTTATAAGTTGAGACTGAATATTTTGAGTTGTCAGCTAAAATAAGTTGTTAGTTTTATTTAATCATATAGGTAATTTACACAAATGTGTAAACTTAATCAGTCTGGGGTCAGCCTGACTTGCAGGAATGGCCGAACTGTAGTAAATTTTATTGATAAATATTTTTTAAAATTTGTATATTAAAAAACAAAGGAATCATATCGATACCATAATTGGCAAACCAGCTAACTCCATTTGAGTAAATTTTTCAGGAGAGAATTAAAACTTCATATTATTTTTTGTAGACTACTTATGAAAAAATCTAAAATCCCGTTGGTGTATAATATCGTAAGCTATTATATTTGATAATGTTCGAGGCCTTATTGATTTTCATTACAATAATACAGCGATATTTGGAGTTATCTGATTCATATTTCCTGTTAAAATATATGATCTGGGAGTTAGCGGGTTTTCTCAAAGGAATAATTTTAAATTAAATGATTGGTTTATTTTTTAAATGTTTTATTTAAAAAAGAGAAACACAAAAAATTCAAAATACAGATAAAAAACATCATAACTTTATTCAGTCTTCATGAGGAAGGTTGTCATAGTAATTTTGGTAGTCTCTGGGCATTGAGTTCTTAAGTTGCTGTAAATCGGAGTATTTCTTTTTATTAGTTATGTTCCTGCATTCGGTGTAAAGTTCAGGTATATTTTCAAAGGGAGTTTTACTTATTCTAACATTCTTACGCTGGTTAAGCAATGTATATTCTGTGGTAAATCTCAGTTTATAAAAAATCTCCCCCGAGGGTGCATACTTGAGGGCTCGTATATCGGTAACCTGTTAGAAGCACAAAATTTAATATAGGTTATAGTTACTCAATTATAATTAACTGTTTACAATTTTATACCTTGGGATCTCCCTTCAACTTTCTTGGTCTAATAGAATTGTAGAAATTGATATTTTTGAAATTCTTGAAGTAAGAGTAGGTTAAATATTCTACTGTGTAAGATTTAGTTTTCTTCGCATTTTTGCAGATGGTAATGTACTCTGCTGGGACATGAATCACGCGATTTTTTAGTTTTTTTATATTATTGCATGCATGCTGTCTACCTCCATCTGGGTATGGCCTACTTCCAAATATTTTTGCTCAATTATTACATTATACAGCATGGCTGTGTTGAGGAGAGCATTACTTAAGGTGACGTTTCGGTTTTGGTATGTACACCCATCTGTGTACAAAATTATGTGTCTGTTATCGTCTCTCATTTTTGGAATAACTTTGTCAATAAAAAACTTCGTTAGTATTGTTGCAAATTCATCAGAATTCAGTCCACCTTCAGCCTCATTCCATATAAAACAATATCCATCACTAGTTTTCATATCATATATACACCAGTTATGTACACAAAGCTTAGTCTTATAATAATTTGAAGATACATTAGAACGTGGCGCTAAAAGAACTGCTTGAAGATCGGCAGTAAAGACAAATTCTTTTTTTTCTTTATCACTATCCTTCTCCAATCGTGCTTCATTCTTTTTATTTATGTGCTCTTCATAAGTCTCTTTAGTAATATGACCCATCTTATATCCATTACAGATTTCACACAAATCTTTCTTCGGTTTAAATAGAGAAATTTTTTGGATGGTGAGAGTATTTGTAAAAGTAGCAATTGATAAAGGTTTTTCGATCTTCGATTTACAATAATCTATATACATTTCATAAAGTTGTCGCTTGGATGAAATGTCTGATTTGTAAGTATGTCTGTGTTGTTCTTTTCTTACAGTAATGTGAAGGCATTTTCGGTAACTCTTGTAAAAAGTCGTACAAAGTTTTATTTTCTTGTTCAAATGTCTTTCTGGTAGTAGATTCTTCTAAGCGTTCATCAGTATTTTTGCCTGTAACTTCTAACTTCCAACCCCAAACACATGATTTTCCAATACAAAAAGTATTTAAAAATAATGTTTTACAAACTCTAATCATGTCTTCTCCCTTTTTTAGGTAGTAAATAAAACTGTTAGCTCTTTTTGATTTCTTAGGGTCTGTTCTACCTCTTGGTCTATTTGTATGTATAACTTTTACTAAGCTATCAACATAAACTCGTTTTTCTTTCCAAGTCATATCCCAAAACTTACCAAACAATAATTTTCTGTCATCTTCAGAGATACTATGGCACCTAATGACACTCTTCCCCTTTTCTTTACAAGTACACCGGGGCTTCATTACTCTTTTCGGTTTCCTTATATTCCTTTTCCATTCTCCATCAACTTTCTTTTTACTGCAATATTCTTTACCCTTCTCTCTATTCTTTTTGTTAATCTCACAAACCCATTCATCTTTCTTTACTTGACAACGTTTCTTTCTTTTCACTAATGGTTCCTCAGTTTCTGAATCAGAATCACTGTAATCGACTAATTTTTTCATCAATTCAGTTGAAGCAGGTGAGACTGCAGGGATAGCTTCATGGAGTATTGGTTGTTCATGTGGAACAGAAATGACCAAAACATTATTCAATCATTGATCATTACTGCTAAATAGGCCCTCATTGGTTGGTTCAAAAGTATTACAGTCAGCTGCATTATTCAGTGGTGTAGTAGGGCGAGAAGACAGTAAACTTGGACTATGGTTTTCTGTTTCGAGCTCAATTAAGTTTTCAATTATAACATTATCAACTATTTCCATATTATTATTGTAACATATTTGGTCATCTAATAATATTGTATTGTTAAAAAATTCAGGGCTAATGTCATTCACACCAGGCTGATTATTTTCAAGACAATCTATGTAGCTATTATCAAAAATTGCAACAGAATTAGAAGCTACGCTACCGTGCCCAACCAAGTCATCGTAAGGTTTTGGATATTGGCTATTAATAAACAAAGCAGAGTCTGGGTTAGTGGGTTCATCAAGCTCATGCTGTTGGTTTTGAATACTTATTTGCAATATTTTTTTAGCACGTGGACTTGACATCTGTATGAGAAAAAAAATAAAGCCCATTACCATAAGCCCCTCAATGCACTAGTTCATAAAATAAAAGTCTATAGTAAGTTATAGTGTAACCACTAAAGATTGTGCATAAATAAGCGACAAAAATTATGAAAAAATAAAAGCTCACAACATATTTCACTACTTATATTGAATTTCTATTCATGCCCATTCATGTTATAAACAACATTACAATTTTTGTGATATATTCATGATGCTAACTGTACATTAAAAAAGTTAATAAATTAAATAAAGTATGTACTGTCAAACAAAATATTAACACGGCTAAATTCCAACACTGCAATGAAAAAGTAAAAACCAAATCGGCTAAATCCATGAAGATATTAAAAGTTAAAATAACTGTATTATTAATTGAAGTTTGGATAAAAACTAAAATAATAAACATACCTTGTATTCAAGTTGTTCTATTTTTCGACACCGTATTACTTTTTATCGATTATTATCAGAAATCCTTAATAAAATTACGGAGCGCAAGCGTACACGGCTGAGGCGCCATACAAAATGGCCGCCTTTGTGGAGTTAGCTTTCAAAATCGTAACGTTCCAGGTCGCGTGGAGTTGGCTGTTTTTCTTACAGCGATTTATGCAGAATATTTAAATAATATTGGACTTGTCTCTTTTGCAAATCACGCTTAGTGACCGTTAGAATACAAATCACACATAAAAATAATTTTGATATAAAGTGGAGTTGACTGGTTTGCCAATTAAGGTATCGATATTGTCTATACTTAGTAAAATTGTTAATAGCACAACACTGTTTAGTCTATTATCTATGGGGCAGTTGTCAACGGTGGGTTTTACGGTGAAGACGAGCGAAAGGTGTTAAAAGTTGTAAAGGTGTTAAATAAACGTATCTCAGTTAATCAATGTGTTCTCACTATTCCACCAACCACACCCCCTACATATATATTACCATAATAAGCATTTAATGCTACTTCAGTGGATGATATATCGGTTAACACTGACAGGGCGTAACAATAACTACTTATTTTGTCATTAATTTTCTCTATTTGATGTTTCCAATTCAGGTGAGTATCTATGGTAATACCAAGGAATAATTTCCTCGTATTAGCATATTCTACTTCTTTTATTTTGGTGCCATTTACCGCAATTTTAAGGTCCAAAGGTTCTTTTTTATAATTTCTAAGTTGTAGAATGTTAGTTTTTATTAAATTAACTGTTAAATTGATTGATTTAAGCCAAATTGTCAGATTTTGTAATGTCAGACATATATTAAGTTCAAAGTCATTCTTACACATATAGTCATTATTAACAAATAAAATAGTCGCGTCATCAGCATACATTGTACATAGATCTTTAATAATTTGGTAGCTCATTGATGTAGACAAGGAAAAATAATGACCCTAGAATGCTGCCCTGCGGCACACCTATTGGAATTATTTGATATTCTGATTTAGTTTCCTGCAAAGTTTTTGTTTTCCTATCCAAATATGTCAAATTTACTGTTTGCATTATTTTAAAAAGATATGACTCTATTAGTTTTAACGCGCAACCTCGAATTCCAATATGCTCAAGTTTTTTAAGCAGAATAGAATGAACAACGCAATCAAAAGCACGTGACATATCAATGAACAAGGCTGCACAGTATTTTTTTTCATCTATTGATTTCCACACATGTTTTAAAAAACTATAGACAGCCGAGGAAGTTGACAAATCCTTTCTAAATCCAAATTGGTTATTGCTTAATATATTATTCTTCTCAATAAATTCCATCAATCTCGTGTATAAAACCTTTTCAAATATTTTTGAAAACGCTGGAAGTAGAGCAATTGGTCTGTAATTGCTTGCCAAGTACCGAGGTTCTTTTTTATGTATTGGTTTAATAATAGCAATTTTTAAACTGTGAGGGAAACAGCATTTTTCTATCATCATATTTATTAAATAAACCAGATGGCGAGCAATTATATCGATACATGATTTTATTATTTTAATTGATATTCCGTCATATCCACAACTTTTTTTATTTTTAAGCCTTTTAGTGCAGTCTTTTATTTCATTTAAAGTTGTGGGTTTTAGAAATATGCTATTAGTCAAAGAGGTGTAAAGGGGAATGTATTGATTATGGATTGTATTAATAGATTGGCTTAAATTAGAGTAAATAGTTGGCTATGTTTTGCGGTTGAGTTAAAATTATGTCGTTATTTATTAATGTTTTTATTGATTCTTTTAATTTAGTTTTTTGTGTTGTATGTAATTTTATTAGACCCCATGTGGCTTTTGTTTTTTTAGTACTTTTCCTAATATATTTCAAATTACTCTGCCTTTTAGAATAAGCAATCACATATTTTAATTTCGTTTTATATTTTTTATATGTATATTGCTTAGATTTCTTCGTTTAATATTGCTTTATGTAGCTCTCGCTTTCTCCTACATGATATTTTTATACCCTTAGTAAACCAATTTGGTTTTACTCTATGGTTCATTTTATACCGTTGTATAGGAAAACAAAGATCAAAAATCAGTTTAAATATTTCTAGAAATTTATCATAAGCCGAATTTACATCATTCTGTGCATATACTTCCGCAAAACTGACCTGTGAGATATTTTTTTGAAGATGTCTAGGTTGATGTCATGTAGTAAGTACCTAGTTACAGCAAAATATAATAAATTGTTTATATTGCAACTCTGCACTTTTCTAAATAGAACATTTACCTATGATAAGAATGTGAAATACGTATGTTTTAATAATTTACTTTATTAATGTATTTACTTTTAAGAGACAGAAATAAACTATATCTTAAACTATAAGGACGTTTATCTTCTCCGCATCCCTTCGAAGAACCAGATAGTTCATGGTGATCCTGCCAACCGGATACTAAGATGAAGAATATATCGCTATCCAATGTGTCAGCATGGAACATCAAGCATTAATAGCAGCCATAATCTTCATTATCGTAGTCTTTACCGCAATTCTTCTCTACGTGCCAATACTCTTCAGAGAAAATCACTAATATGGGCAGCACAAACACAAAAGAAGAGGTTGTGATTGCACAACAGCGGCGACGCTCAAGCCACTTAGAAGTCTGCAAGCCAAATTTCAACCACGGATATCCTGTTAGCGGTCATTTTATTATTTGTGATCATCGCTGTCATCTATTTTTGCATCAGGAAGATTTGGGACAATATTGTCAGCAAGCTAAGAAGAGAACTGAACGGTGCAATATTCAGAAACACTGTATCTACAGGCGAGCTCTCCAATTCACCGTCGTCAGCATAAGTCAGGAGGAGGAACATTCTACCACCTACAATTAACCAGGAGGTGTCCAGGGACGAAACCCGGCCCATAGTTCGAGGGGCAAGGGAAATCCCAGCCCGGAAAATTCTACACCAGTCTGCTGAATGCCTGCCAGGGAGCGAGCCCACACGCGCCGCCAACGTTACAAGCTGCCACAGAATTATCCCATCCCCCTGATGTTGGAAGCTACGCGCAATGCACAGTTTGAAGGTTTCTTATTCTAAGTTACATATATTTTTATAAAGTTTAATATGCTTTTTGATTGTTTTTATTAAAGTAATGACTAATATTTTATCAGATTTAAATGAGTTAAAAAGTAAGCTTTTATACTTAAGAGAATATTTTGTTAAACTTGGCCCTGAGAGGCGTTGTAAAGATTTAGGACTTGCAAAGTTTGAAGAATCGAAAGTTGAGTTCAAAAAATTAGATTATATATTGCCTCAGATTCATGAATAAATTGAAAAGTCAGAAATAAGCTCCAAAGACGTGGCTGACATTAATACTATTGTTAATAATATTAGATCCACATATGTCAAAATAACGGATTTAATAAGCGTTTCAGATAATGCTTCAAAAATGGCGGAAAAATTCGACTTAAAAACTGCCATTGCTCTTTTGCCCGTCATGACCGGTCAAGAGCACGTTACTAAATCTTTAATTGACTCTATAGATTTATATAGTTCTATGATTACTGAGAGTTCGCATGGCCAATTAATTGATTTTATTATTAAAACAAGACTTTCCCCTAGCGCTAAACTGCGTTTACCATCAAGTTATACAAAGGTTTCTGATTTGCTTAGTGATATGAATAAACATTTAATTCAAAAAAAGTCAGCAGTTTCCATTCAACACAAATTACAGAACTGTAGACAAGGCAATAGGTCAATTGAGTCTTTTGGTACCGAATTAGAAAAACTTTTTGTAAATTTAACGATAGCATAAGCAGACGAAGATAACACTAAGTTCAATGTGTTACGACTGATTAACGAAAAAATTGCAATAAAACGTTTTTCAGATGGGTTATCAAATGAGAGACTTAGCACTATCATAGCATCTCGCAAGTTCGAATCTTTGCCAGAAGCTATAAGGACTGCTGTTGATGAACAGTCATTGTCCTCAGATAACGAACAAGTTATGAATATAAGGTATTTGAACCCACGAT